GACAGGGCATCACAGTATGGTAAGTGGCGTAACATTTCCGTCTCACGCTTGAGGTATTCGGCCAATCATAACGCACTGGATAGCTGGCCAATCAGCGTACACCTCCTTTTCAGAACGATGAGCTTTGTAAAAAATCGACGCGTTTCAGAAAGGCGGGGCATAGAGGAGAAACAATAATGTACAGTATGTGGAAAATAATGTGTTTTTTGAACCTTAAACCGCATAAACACATTTCATTACACCAAATACACAAAATAATGTTCTTTTTAGCAACGTCATATGACCCCTTTAATATAAAAAGTGTACATATTACCTTTTAAAAGGTACCGCTCAAGTGACAGGTTTGTCTTCTTTTTCCTGAAACTGGACAGCGCTTTACTTCATGCAAAGATGTTTCTAAACTTTTATTTAGTCTTATCTAATCAATAGCCTTTTTTCTAAAACTTCGTATTGTTTTGTGATGTTGTAGGCAGCCTATGTAGTATGTAATTTAAAAACGAAACAAAACATTACTTAACGTATTTTGATTCAGACATATTGAAAACAAAAAGTGATAGGTAGTCAGGCATAGAATCGAGTACCCAAAATACACTGTGTCAGCCAGTGGAAATGTAGGCTAGTCCGTGTCCACACCAGACGCGACACGACAACGCGATTCGACAAAATCACTCAAATATCAGTCATTCAGAAGCGCACTGCACTCGAAATGGCCAAATTTATAATATAATTCATAAATATTAAACCTTTTTAGCATTATTAAAAGTACATACTGAGTGACTCATACCATCTTTGTTGGTTCGCAATGATTTCGCAGTTTTAACTTACATGCTTAAATTTATTTTCAATAGGTAAACTATCTGTTTTTGCTTTCAGTATGACTATAAATGTCACGCAATATGATTTTCAAACTCACATTAGACACATTAAACATTGAATGAAGCACATAATCAGTACCTGAGATTCTCATTTCATAGTTTGTATGTTGTTGTTCCAGCAGCGACGTCGCAGAAATAGAAACGTGTTGCCGTCGCGACTGATTAGGACAAAAACTGCGATTACAAGTGGGGTAAGCGATTTTTCAAAAACGCTTTAGAACACTGATTCGGGCCGACTAGCCATTCAGCAGTAAGGGGCATGTCTACCCATGATGTGGAGGAGAGACGGTTCAGTGCGCTCAGGACGGACATTAGCGAGCAGAGCGACAGAAAGATAGAGATGGCGAATAAAAAACAAAAGAGGAAAACGTCTGCGGAACAAAAGAAGGCTTAAGGCAAGAAGTAGGACCCGTGTAAATATCGGATCAGCTTTCCAGCGCTGGAGAGAACTCAAGGAGCGGAAGGCCTGCTATGGAAGCCAAGGTTGCTTTGTTTCTTCTCAATAGGTGAGTAACACCGTGTCTGCGCTGCAACAACTAAAGTCTGTCCTCTGTCTAGTACACTGGACGCGACAAAGCGACCGTTGAAAATCATTTGAAATTTGTGTCAATACGTCATGAATAGAACGCAGCAGCAGTTTTCTTTCTGGGATTTGTCGTGTCGTGCCGTGCCGCGCCGCATCCAGTGTAGACCATAGATATGTATTTATATGATGGTGTAGACAGCATCACTGATTATAATGAGTTCCATAGTATTTTGTTGCGCTGCGCCGCTCGCGTCAGGTGTAGACACGGTGTAACATTGGTTTTGCTTTGTTTCACAGAACTAATCGTTGCCTGGGTTGCGTACCTATGTGTGGGGCCGAGCTATCAAAATAGGGGCGAGACCCTTTTGGGGTAGGGGCTGGTTTGTTTTGGTGATTTCAAATGTCAACATTGGCTACCAGAAATCGCTTACCCCACATGGAAAAGACACCTTTTATCGTGGCGTCACGGCTGGTTAGGACAAAAACTGAAGCCCCGTTCCAGCGACAAATCGACATGATCCCATTAATTTTCAATGGAGAGCTGACGACTTCCGGCGAACATGAGAGACAGTGACCATTGCCGACAGAATGTAGGCGTGAGTCACGCGACAAAAAATGTGATTGCATTTTCAAAAGATATGTCCAAATGTAGGGTGACCATACGTGCCATTTTCCCCGGACGCATCCTGGCCAGGATTTCTATATTGCCTAAAATATCTAGGGTTTAGCTTTGTTTGCGTGTGCAGACCGATCGGTGTATGACATCGGTTCCTTGTGTTTTCGAAACGCTGCTGAGGTACTTTGAATCAAAGCAATATAGAAATCCTGGCCAGGACGCATCAGGGTTTAGCTTTGTTTGCGTGTGCAGACCGATCGGTGTATGACATCGGTTCCTTGTGTTTTCGAAACGCTGTTGAGGTACTTTGAATCAAAGCAATATAGAAATCCTGGCCAGGATGCATCCGGGGAAAATGGCACGTATGGTCACCCTACCAAATGTGCAGTCTAGTCTGTAATAGGGCTAGCTGTTACTAGTTTTTTTTGTACCTCTACACTAGGGGGTGATTGAAAGCTTAAACCCCAAGTAATTTAACCAGGGGTGTATTCCATAAAGCATGGTTAACTTACCGTCAGCTAAACCCTGAACTTTCGGTTGATTAACCCCAAACCTTGCTTACTCGAGGTATGTGGTTCCAAAAACGCGTCCGGGAGTAAGTTCATTCAACTTAGAGTATGTTCCTGGTTAAGACTCAAGACATTCTCAACAGAGCGACAAATCGACGAGTCACTATGGAAACGGACGCTAAGAAAAAGCGCCATGCTGTTTCTTTCTTCTTCTTTTATAGACCAAGGCAGTTCTGGGATCTCGTGCAGACGCAATGGCTCCTTTTGTTCATTAGGTTTCAAAGCATTGCATATGCTGCAAGACTGCACAAAGTTGTCAATGTCCTGCGTCATAGTCAACCAGAAAACGGCATCGCGTGCTCTGCGTTTGGTTGCTTCGGCTCCGGCATGACCTTTGTGCAAGATTTGTAGATATTCACTCTGTAGGCTGTGAGGAATTACCACTCTTGTTCCCGTCATGATTATTCCATCCTCGTTAGTGAGCTCATCTCGGAAAGGAAAGAAGGGTTTTAGTGGCACTGGCACACTCTGAATTTTCT